TAATATATATATATATATATAATATAATATATATATATATATATATATATATATATATATATATATTATATATATATATATATATATATATATATATTTATATTTATATTTATATATATTTATGTCCACATGATCTTGCGACACATTGTCCTTGCGATTGGCACAGTCCTACCAACGATAATTGGCTCGCAATTGGCACAATACTGACACACAGTACATGTCGTTAATAATACAAGATTGTGCTTGGTGTTCTTCAAGGTCGATATTGCACACGCGATTTGCTACATTCAGCATATTGCTCTTTGCAATGGCACGCGGAATTGACAGACTAAATTGTCCGGATAATCAATCGCTTCCAATTTCTGACAAATTACAAATTTACAAGTCGAATGTATAAATTAATACCCCGGTGCTCTTCCCCTCTCCTCCGTCCCTTCCCCCTCCGTCGTTTATATATCGTGCGCTACATTGTATATTATTCCCGCGATTCGAGACGTCCTCCGGAATTCACGATGATCAATCCGAATTCGTCTCGTTGCGTTCTTGACATAAAATCAATCAATCTCGCAAAAAGTACACGCCGGAACGAATGCCGCGTCGCCACTCAAAATTTTTAATCCGTAACTTCGAAGCTCCAAGTCGGTGTATTCCAAGCACAAAGGAGAATAAGCACAGAGCACGTTTTACGGTACCGAAATGTGTTTCGAAAAGAAAAAACTCAGAAAAAAATGTACACTCTTTCGTACTCCGCGTCACTGTTTTATATTGCCACACTTTATATCTATATAATATTTATCTATTATTACACCTATATTATTACACTAAATGGCACACAACGTGAGAAAGTATTTAAGAAAAGTCTAATTTTGCTAAAGAAAAAAAAAAAAAGAAACCTTTAGAAGCATAGTCTTAATCTTGATTTTCTCTGACGTCCCACGCCTTGTGATTTCAGGAATTTCTCCGACGCCATGGGTCCACGTCCAAATTGTGCCGCAAGGTTCGCAGTGCAGATAACTTACCTCTCGCGTCAACGAATCGCCAACAGGACCCACGAAGGAATTCCAAGGACGAAAGCGCCGAGGGCGACCGAGAGTCCTTCCTGAAACCAAATCAGGACGACAAGTCCGAGGATCAGGACTCGAGGAGGCAGAGCAGTCTCGAGAGCACGACGAAGGACAATACAGAAACGTCACTGTTGGATCCCAGTTATCAGCAGCCCTCTTCAAGGTAAATTAAATTCAAGAAACACTGGCGATTTCTTTTTCGATTTCTTACGTCTCGCTAACGCTAAAAGAACGAAATATTCGTTATTCTGTCCTAGATATAGAGTTACAGAAAAAATCTAAAATAACTTTCCTATATTTTTTAAAAATATTATATTTATCAATTTTTTTTGTTTAACATCATTCCTTTCTATTATTTTTTGGACACTCAAAATTACGACTATAAGAACATTCGACATATTTAACGCTAATAATAAAAAAATCTAACAAACACTGCATGTTTGAGACTGACTAAATTGCACAAGAGTAAAAATACCAAAACAACATTTCCACACGTTGTATACAGTTAAATGAAATTTAATATTATCTCGAAAACGTCAAGCGAGGTAAGAAATTCTCTAAGAAATTCGCATTTGCCATTTGCAGCGTGGAGACGATATCCTTATAATTCAACAACTTGGATGGACACGCTTTCTTATCCTGTCTCGCCGATGATAATCTATCACGTGGTATCTCTCGAAAGATATTACGATTACACGTATGAAATATTAGGAGAATGATAGACATTTCCGTTTATCGAGAATTCGCGTCAGTTCGGGGGAATAAATTCGTATTGATCGTAGAACGCAAATTTGCTCCAGCTGCATCGTGATTTTGGAGCGGTAGTCTTGTCTCCCGATGCTCCCTCATCTCGTCCTCTTACAATTTGTTATCGCACTACAAACGGTTTTTGCTCGCTAATCCCTAAAACGGTTTTACGAGCTTACTTGTATAATACAATAAGAATCACATCGAAACGACGCTCCCATCATGCGGTGCATGTGCAAGCAGTTTTCCTAGCTCCGCGTACGTTACGTGTAATGCATTTTAATGCCTGCACCAAGAACACGTTTGTTCTACAATATTTTTCCAAGTAATATTTTTCTCAGTCGTAGTATTCGATTGTAAAACGAAAATGTAATCGTAACATTGCGGCAATTTCACTGTCGTTATCGTTCAAAAATAAATGTTAAATAACAATGAGTTTTATCTGCGTTGTAAATTCGTGCGTTAAGCATTCTTTTGCTTTCGCAACTTTCCACGGTGTCTTCGACAAGTCCGGAATTGCGGAAATGGAAATTTTGTCGTTTGCTGTGCAAATTGAACGAGCTTCAATTCTAGCGATAGAAAAATCGACTGCGAAGTCGTCAAGGAATCTGTCATTAAAATTAAAATAGCAAGTTTTGCGAGAACTACGTCCCGTAGTTCTCTCTGGTAACCAATGGATGTATTCAATGCATATAAATTTGTCAATTTCATAAAATTTTGCATTTAGTGTAGTTGTAGATGAATTTTCTACGCCGATTTTATATTTTATATGTGCAACCATCACGATTTTAAATTACGCGTACACACCCTCTCAAAAAGGATTTCTAGTAATGAGACGAAAACTATTCTTGATGCATTTAATCTTATTGTTATCTCATGTAATATAAAACTAAAACCATTTTAAGAACCATTTTAAATTAATAATTTCTATTCTTCTGCCTCGAATTAAAATATGATTGACATTTTGTCTTGAATTAAAAATAATACATGCAAATTTAAGCTTGTTTATTCTTGCGTAGAATAAAATATCGCCCAATATAATGCCCAATATTAGTGCCAGTATTTGATGTGAGATTGTGCTACTATTTATTGTAGCACCAAAATCATTCTAGATTTAAGAATATTCCAATTAAGACTAAAATATTCTGTTTCTTATAATAAATATGATTGGCCCTATATCGATCCTATTTTATGCTGAATCTGAAGAGTAATAGCATTAGATCCAGAAATCTTTTCTGTGGGTGCAGATTTGCATATTTATATTTGTGCGATATTCGCGTAGATGATACGGGCAATTTTATTAAATATCATCGTTCCTCCGCCAAGAACATAATGCGCGTTTATTCGACGTAAATATAATTTAACGCTTACGTTCATCGACCGTATGTCAATTAAATTAAATCTGTGTGTACACATAATCCCCGATCAAATACAAGAAATTTCCAGTTATTTGCGTTCGACAAGCGTTTCCGCGAAATTTTTGTAATTAGTTGGTTTAAACTTACAGACGTTAGTAAAATATTAATAAATGACAAATTTTAAAAGAAATATTGATCCTAAAAAAATATTGATATTAGATTAAAAGCAAAAGTTTTAAAGCTTGAAATAAATTAATCGTATTAATTATAATTACAATATATGATAAAAATTATGAAAGAAATGGTATTATAGAATCTTATTCGGTAACATTGTGTAGGATATGTAAGAAAATTATATGGAGGTTTTTTATTACTAGAAAAATCATATAATGTAACTCTCCCTTTTCCTCAAGAATATAAGATCTATTTAATTTTTGAATATTACAAATATTTAAACTTACTAAATACCTCATAAATTAAAAGTTCTAAAAATATCTATTGAATTAGAACGAACATAATTGTGCGAGAATTTCCTTACATACTACTCTATTGCTCTAATTCTGCTTTTACTGTTCTAGCCATTTAACAAACAATTAATTCCGAAATTCAAGTTTATCTGTCGTTTATTGATATTAGTCTCGGTGGCGTTGGATATCGATAGGAGCATCTCCGCTTTAATTTGTCCTATGGCCGATTTCGCCGCCGATGCCACTCGGAGCGGTCTATATAGTTGTTAGAAATGCGGATCGCCGATGGTGGTGGTGGTGGTGGTGGTGGTGGTGGTGGTGGTGGTGGTGGTGGTGGTGGTGGTGGTGGTGACGGCGGCGGCGGTAGGGATGGTGGTGCGACTTACACAGGGGTAAACGCATCGACCTGGCCGTAGCTCGTGCCAGGTGCGCTCTCGCCCCTTGGGCGAGCGATAATGACGGTCCGGGGAATTTAAACGCGGCGATACATTGTCGCGGAAACGTCGGCGGCCGTTCGATCCGCGATGCGGGCCGATGCAAGCGATGCAAGCGATGCACGACGGCCCCCGCCCGCGGCCGCCTGGCCGGTTATCGATCACAATTTCAGTAGGCGATGCCCACTTGACCCGCGCCTCGCATGTAAATGACTCCGCTACTTTGCGACCCTTCCTGTTTGCAGTCGCTCGACCTTCTCACTCTTTCCGCAACTCTCCGCCGCGCGTACTCTCGTGTCGCTATCATCAAGCGATTAGCATGATCGTGGCGTGGATATCGCCAGGGATCTCATCGCCGGTCTCGGGGGAGAATGCACGGCATGTGCGTGGGGATGTTTAATCCTTTGACTACTAGGGGAGAGCAACAAAGTTATCTCGGAATAGAGCTGAATAATTGCATCAAAGAAGCTTCTCTTTCTCTCTCTTCTCTTTTAATTGGTGGATTATATTTGTTAACATGTTTGATCAAAATTTGTGTTTATCTAATTTTTAGATAGATTCCTTGTGGAAAAGATTAGAAATCTAAATATTATGAGTTGTACATACCCGCTTTTATCATATAAACTATTCCGAAAATGATGAAAGAGAGAAGGAAAGAAGATATATATGTATATCTAGCTTTAAAATATTCTTTATGAACCAATATGTTGATTTTAATTATATTATGTAACAGAGGAGTAAAATTACTGAAAAGTCACAATTTTTCAGTATTTTAATCTAAATTTAATAATTTCATGTATTGGTAAAACTATCATACAAGTTCTTTTTTCTTCAAATTGAAGAAACTATTCCGTAAAAAAAAACTATTCCGACATAACTTCATTACATTCTTCTTTTAATAATAGAAAACTTGATGAGTTTTTGGAAACTATATTTACACCATTTCCAATTTAACGCCGGGATTCATTGACAGAGATTCCGAGATTGGATTGTACGTTCTTATTTCAATATTGATTGCAATAGACATATTAAATTGGATTGTAAACAATTTAGTATATTTACGATTTATTGAAATACTATGAACTTATCATATAGGAAATAAGCATATCGGAAATTAAAACATGATTAACATGTAGTTTATAACATGTCATTTTTGGTACATTGAATTATTTATAAAAAAATTCCCATATAAAGTATATACAAATACAAATTAAGCATATACATATACATATATAAAATAATTTTATTTTATAATCTACACATAATAATTTTATTTTATAATCTATCTATATAAATAAAAAATAAAAAATAATTTCTTAAACTGCGTTTCCTAATTAAATTTACATAAATTAAAATAACATTAATTTAAATAAATTAATTGAAAATTTACGTAAAAAAATATGTTTTCTTATATTTTATATTCTACTATAATAATAACTTTTAAATAATACTATGATTAATATTATGATATTCATATTTTGGTAATTGTATTAAAAAATTGCAAAAAGTGTATTTTATACTCTGTGAATAAAATTTAACTACTTCATATACAGAGTTTATGACGGCATAAAAAGGAATTCTAATGAAAAGAAACAATAATTAAATCGATATGTGACCTGAAAGTTGCATTAGGCAATAGTTAATATAGTTAATATAGTTAATATAGTTAACACACAATGCTTGTTTTGTTATCACGACGTCTCATCTCATTCACTTCATCATAAATCGATCATAATTTCAGAATGCGATAATTTCAGAATGCGACGTCAACTGCCACATATTCTAGCTATAAGACCATTAACGAATTCCACCATTTAATAGCTATTCGCTTATATCTGCACATTTCATTTCCTGCATCGTAATGGTTTGCTGATATGATCGTCTCGTTTCGACTAAGATGATTATAGAGAAAGAGATAATTAAACAGATCGTCATATGATATCCAATGATTTTTTTCAAAAATTCTTTTACATCCTTTTATTTCATATACTATTACAAACATTAATTCACATTATTAATTTCATAATCGATTTATTAATAAAATGTAAAGAAATTTTCTTTATTAAAACACAGATTTAATAATGTATATTTTAATTAAAAGTCATGATTAAAAATCATCTATATCTAGATTCTCAGCATTTTCATAAAATGATATATATATATATTATTTTTTTTTATATTGAAAAATATGTATTTTAAAAACTTTAAAATTAATGTAATTTAAAAAAAAATGATAATAAGGGATTAATTATGGGCAAAAGAAAAAATTAAGTATTCTCATAAGAAATAAAAAAATACGTATAATATGATTTATATATATTTTTTTGTTTATTAATACATTTATTATTATTGCGAAAACATCCAATTTTTTGCCCATAATAAAATCCCCAATTAACATTTCGTCTTAATCTGTTCGGACATCGATATTTTCGTCGATACAATTTTACAAAAGTGTACTCCGGAGAGTACACTTCGATTTTTATCAAAGTATATTGGGGGATTGTGATTTCGTGTTCATCGCAGCATGCGGTAAACACACCGCGGTATCACCGCCGTGATCGCTTTCGTGACAACTTTTCGTTTCCTTTCAGCAACGTGTTGCCGCCCGCCCAGGCTTTGGAATGTCTTTTCTCGGAAAATCGCGATTGTGCGATTTAGCAACAATCTCGCATGCGACGGGAGTATTTCCCCGGGTATATTTGGGTCGTTTAAATTCTGCAATCGGCGCTCACACGCGCACGCCGTTTAGATACGCTCCGAGCGCGGGCAAACGGCCCCCTTTCCTTTCTTTCCGCATCGCATCGTTTCCATAATGCCAACGTTACATGCACACATTGTCATTGCTATAAGCAAGCCGCCGTACGGAATTATTTATGAATTATGAAAACGCGGCGCGTGTGCACATACGCAAACTTTCTTTCCTCTTTCCCTAGCTTGATTCGTCCGCGGTTACGCAAGCGCGCGCGCGCGCGCGCGCGCGCGGCTTTTTCTTGCCGGCTTTTTATCTCCCTTGACATTCAGAGCTCTATCTCGCGATTACTATCGTTCGCCGAGCGACCATTACGGCGAGCGATCATTACGGCGAGAATGTCGCTGGATAAACTCATACGGCGAAATCGACGCGCTTATCTCGATCGCGTCTCCGACTTCACCTACGACTTCGGATTTTTTTTATTCATTATGTGGCTTGTATTAAGCTGGATGCGCAATGAAAAACACAGACAATAGGAACAGGGAATAACACAGGCAACAAATTTCAACCTATGGGAAATCGTGTATCAATGCACAATGGAAAACATAGATACTCGGAACAGGGAATAGGAACAAAATTTTCGACGCGTTGGATTTCTGTTCCTTATTGCCTTGTACTTGACCAATCACAGTGATTTGCTTTGTTTAATGTTTACCTGTAATCTTGTATTACAAGTATTATGTAGAGAATTTATATCGCTGGATTTTCTGATTGAACAGTTCTTGTCTTTGCTATCGCCGTCATTGTGAATTGTCGACAATAAATTTCTTATTCTCTGTTCCCTATTCCCTGGTCCTGTTGTCTGTATTTTTCATTGTGCATTTAGCTTAAAGCTACCGTCAATTGGGACAAGAACGAATGTATGTACACGCAGTTCAAGATTAATAATTTATTTCAAATTCGAACGATAATGACCACAGTAGCAATGTTTAACATAGACATTTCACGTGCAGAACGAACTTGATAAAAATCACACAATTATCACACTGTCAGGTGGTATATAAATGTTGACTGACATTACAATAAATTAGGAATGTGCCGGATATCTTCAGATGAAAAGATTTTATTCAGTATCCGGTCAATCTGGTTACTATTTCACAATCTGGCCGGATAAACGGAGAGTAATTAACTATCCAACTGATCCTATTTTCCATGTAATTATAATCCGAGTGAATAATTAAAGTTTAAATTTCAAGGGCAATAAGTAATGAATTAATAATTAATAACACATAAGTAATGAATTAATAATTAATAACGCATATCTTGTAAGATACAAGCTGACAAAAGTTGAATTAATAAGACAAAATTTGGTAAAATATGGATTATTAAGATATTTTATCAAATGCCTGGCATCAAATCTAATTAAATATTATTATCAGTATTTAATTATCTATCTAATTAAATGAATTAAAATCATTTGTTACGCGTTTATTATGTATACGTGTTTGTTATATATTTTTTGTTATATATATTGTTTAAATATTTTATACTTTTTAGAAGGCATACAAACATTTTATCATTATTATCATCGTATTTATAAAACTCACTATTTTCGTCTGTTGTAGCGCTAAAATAAACTGTATATATAACACTATTATATTTATTCATTTTTTAATTTTTTTTTTATGTAATTGTTAGATAAAAATTGTTGGTCATCCGGCTCAACAATTCAACAAATTCACTATTCGACACATTTCTAATATAAACATTAATAAGAGATTTTTATTTTTAACAACTAGCAAATATTATCCCTCCAATTTCGTGTAGATCATCACATGAAGATAATTTTGAAGACAATTAAAGATTTTTTTATAGATTTAATTTGATCGCAGAAAATGTCATGTATCGACCTCATTAGTCGATTAATCTCTACATCGATTTGATTTGGTAGTCTGTAATTTAATTACTTAATTACACCGCTCGATGAATTTCAATATGTCCAAGTGTAAATATCGCACACGGATATGTAAATATCATTTCGCACAGGTGACGCAAATATCTTCGACGTCATGAAAAACGATGACGCTCGTGTTTCAGGGACTCCCCGGTGGCATCATCGTCGTTGGTCACCAGACGTTTCGGGGGATGGCGCACCGGCGGAAGCCACGAGTACGTCAGATGCCCTGTGCGACAGCCTGCTTCCATGGACGAGCGGTAAAAAGATCAATTTGATTCCGTCCACTTTTTCTCCGATTCGAAATACGATCCGTTGACCTTTTGGATAATTTTCTCCCGCTCTCGAATGCATTAACAGCGACGGCTAACATTTTTCACGTGACACCTGACAAATACCTGCGCGACGCCTCTGTAAAATGCATCGCCACGTGAATTTTTAACAAACGCTCGGTATTTATATCCCAGAGCGCTTCTCTGAAACTATCGGTCATAAATACGTCATCTAGATGACGTCGCCGTGTCCTCGCAAATATCTCCCCGTTGTTAAAGAATAACGGCTCTCTGTGTGTCGAACTCTGTGCAAGGCTGACAGTTCGATATACGCATGTACATACAGACAACGCGTGAATTGAAAATCTTTTTATAATTTTTTTGCAGAATGCATAGGACAGATGACAGATACACAGTTTGTAAATCGCGTAAGATAAGTGACAGATATAGATATAAAATCCCATTTATATTTCAACATTGTTTTCGATCTATTGTAGATATTTGTTTAATCATACAATTTTTTTAATTTGTTTGACAATCGTTAAAAATTTAAAAATGTTGTTACGTATTGATAAAAAACAATAAATCTTAAATATTCATCATTTTGTTACAAACTAATATACATATTATATTGCACGAAAAATAAAATAAAAATAATATGAAAAAAAAACTTTTATGAAAAATAATGCAATTGCTACAGAAATATATTTCCAATTATAAAAGTATAAATGTAAGAAAAATTCTCATTTACTATTATAACATTGTTAATTTTATGTCGATTCTAGAGTTGTTTTGTATATTTTCAAACTAATGATTTTCGAGTTCACATATAAATTTTTAATCTTGAATGATGAAAAAAGTGACCCCCCGCCCTCCTCCGGTATCCCTTCTATTATTCCATCTTGCTTCGTCTAATTGGACTACGTTCTGATTAGAGGAGGACCGAGAGGCGCCAAGAGAACTGATCCCAGATTAGATTTCCGGTTTCGCTTGCCGTCAACTGATTTCGGAAATCCCGCAGGTGTTATCGGCGATCGTACGAGTCCGAGACCACTCGTCCGCCACGGTATCATCACCATCACCGACGCACGGACGCCGAGCGTCACTCGAAGAGCTGCGAGTACGCGAGACGGGCGGCCACGGAATCGAGCATCGAGGTCCAGCACTTCGGCCTGCCGATTCTGAGTGTGAGCGAGCCGAGTCCGCCGGACGAGAGCGAGCGGGTCGACGACTACTTGTAGGACTTGCTTGCCGAGGACTTCCTGAAGGAGCTCCTCGTGTGATCCGCCCGGCCGATCCTCCGACACCGCGCGGCGCGGTCTCGCTCTTGATCTTCGTCCCGCGGGATTCCGAGTCCCGAACACTCTTTTACCTCCCTCCCCCTCCCCCTCCGCCGTCGTCCCGGGACGACGAGGTCGTCCCGCCGCGCGTCGCGACTTCTCAGGAGGTCGCGATCGGTCCAAGTAAGTCTCCCGCGGGAGAGCACGGATTTCTCGATCGTGTGCGATCTCTATCCCTGTTCATTGTGAGCGACAACTCTGACGCGTATCTACTTTAGAAGAGTCATGAATATATTTGCTACTTGTACTATAGGAACCGCGCAGCTACCAAGGAGCTAACCAAACCAATGCGTTTGATCCGGACTTCGCCTTTTTTCTCCGCGCATTGGGAAGTCCTACGAGCGCTAAATACCGATTTACGACTTGCGACGTAATGCGACTTTGCTCGTCATATATATATATATATATATATATATTTTTCCAGTACCGTAGAGATCCTCTAAATCGATGCTACATGTATAAATTAGAAATATATTAAAAAATGATCAATGTGTGTATGTGCGTGTTTAAAATCCATATCTCTCGTGGCGTGCCGAGGAAGAAGAGGTCCGGATCAGATTTGCGATTATTCTTTGTATCGTATTATTTTTACTTAGGATTACCTGGTGGCCTGGTGGATAATTTCGTTACTTCGATATCGCAGATGTGGATTAATATTAACTCGCGGCGGGAATAATCTGGCTGAATCACTCACTTGAGATTCTCGAGAATTGCAATCAAATTCACTGCACGTCTTTACTTACAATGAGACATCTCGCGACTGCGATTTAAGAATGATAAAAGCGGCAACTCGCTTGCGTATAAATCCGATCATTTACATTCACAAAGATGAATGCGAATAATAACAAATATACGTTTCCTTCCTTTCGTATTTTCTTCCTCGATTTTTACGTCTTTCGTTTCTATCGCGTGATAATGAGATGGAGATGGAGATTAGAATCTTCTCCTTTATCGCTTAAATCAAAATATTAAAGTTGAAATTTTTTTCTAACTTGAAATAATTCAAAATACACATACAAAATACACATGCAAAAATTACTTTGATTTAACGTTGAAGCCATGTCCAGGTACGCGGATTAAAGACAGTTCGCTCTTAAGTATATGTCATTTTATCACATTTATTTTCAACGTCAGCGTATAAACTTCGACTAGATTTCTCTCGGGAATTCATGCAATCATAAAATATTTTACGTTTTGCAGTTACACAAAGTATCATATATCAATACTAACCGAAAGCGAATCATGGAACTGACTATGAACATCGCGATTTAGCTGGTGGAATGCAAAACAAATGTTTCATCGTAATACAGAAAGTCACATTCAGAATAGAATAAAATTCTTGATAGCTACTTTCGTATTATTTTATCGCTACTTTCATATTATTCAGATACTTGGTATTAAATCGTATAAAAGTTGTACCTTCGCGCAGAACATAAAGAGAATTCTATGGATAATAAAATCGCTACGCCAACATATTATTAAAAATATTAATATGACGTTTAAAAACTTTTATTATAATAAATTTCCATTAGACATATAAACTGTAAGTTTTAATTACAAAATTCTAATTTACACCATTGAATGCGTATCTCGTATTTTTAATTTCTCTTTTATCCTTTTACAAAGGGACCATAACATTTCTGGACGTAGTTTCTACTCGGCATAAACATATTCGAAACGCATTAACAAAGTGTACACGCGTCTACTAATTTCATGGAACATCAACAATATTAATCACGCGCGTAGAACTTTGCTGACGTATTTCGAATAATATTCGAAATCTGCGCTGAAAAGCAAGTACTTTTGTTTCCAGGTTTTAAACATTTCCGCGTTATCAAAGCCAATCTGGGCCGAAACATCTGTGATACGTGTATATTTTTAATTCGTGAACGAGTTTGACGTCTCGGAAATGTTTATCCAAGTTAAGTCGTTAAACGTCGGGCAGTTCACGTTCCTCGTTTTTCCCGCGAAGTACTAAAACAGCGATAATCTTAGGATGTACCTAATGGAAACGTGTTTGCTTGTCCGCTTATCTCCTCAGTAGTAAAGATAAACGTGCAGTTCGCGAGGAAAGTATTCGAAATTATACGCCTCGACCACTTGCCACGTCATCGCACAGCGAACACTCGGAATGCCTCGGAGTCAACTGCAATTTTGCGAAGAGTTTCGCGGCTGATCCGAGGCATCCCCGGCTGGGTATTTCTGCTCTGTAGAAATCAATTTATTTCTCGCATTATGTGTCTCTTCCAAACGACGATTTAAGACTTGCGCGTGCGAAAGTTCTCGACGCACAGATGCCTGAAAGCTCGAATCGTATTCCGATCCTTCGCGAATCGAACGGAGCCGTTAGATTAATTTTGCATATGTATAAGTAGCTGTAATTTCATGTAACTATTTAACAGCACCTTCTTGATCATCGATTGAACTCCTTTATGCCAAGATCGTCGCATGTCGCATGAGGCTTGATACACGTGACATACCAACGCGCATCTGTGACGTGAGATGATGACGGAAGACGAAGGAAGAGTAAATAAAATAAGGGAAAAAATAGTTTAGCGATGTTAGTAGTAGTAGAGTTTAACAGTCTCACCACACTTTAACGATAAGAAGATATGTTAATCCATCTCCACGTGTAATTAAGTCGGCTATATACTGATTATATATACATACGTCTAAGCGAGGGTTTGGAAGATATCGCTACTTCCAGGTATCTACGCGATTGTGAAATTCCTCACTTACGCGGAAAAGCGCGATGAAGTCCTTGATGAAGGAGCTTGATCGCGGGTGAGCCGCGAGGTTCCGTCTCCCCCCCCCTCCCCGCCGCGAAGGGAGAGAGTAATCGAGGAGAGATTTTTCTCCGCCTGACTTATCGCCTATCAGGGTTCATCGCAACGTGGGAACAATATAGAATGTAATGGTACGTGCGACAGATTCTCGCGCGAGAAGAATTCTACGTCGTCGGATTGGCCTCGGAGCAGAGTCCACAGGGCCTTATCGGGTCGATTTGGAGAGCAGAGTCGCGCGGCTTGCTTCCATTATCGCAATTCGCTGCTACGCGAAACACGTGCCTCGTCGCCATCGATTTTTCTCAACTTTTTTCTCACCTCTGGACCAATCGTAGGTGGAAGGGGCCACAATAGGAAAATTCATGAGAATTGATTTCGTTGCTGCACAATGGAATTGTGAGCTGTCGACGAAAGAAAAAAGTATGCCGGCCAAATTTCGAAACGTCTGAACAAATAAACAAAAATATGTATTTTTAAATATGCTTTTTTTTGAAAGTATTCTAAACGTTTTTATTTAAACGTTGTTACTTTTGAAAATATAATTAGAATTTTTTTGCATTATTTAAAATTACGTTTGGTTATGATTTAAAAAAATTTTTTTACTAGATTTTTTCCATTTATTCGACTGTGTGGAAAATTGGCCGCATATTTCGGAATATTCTGTGAAGATTTTAATAATGATAATGATTAATAATCGGATAATGATTATAAAATCGTGATTATAAATCAAACACTTCATTTTGTCGAGATCATTGACAGTTAATTTGACACAGCTATAGATTCACTTTATTATTTGCGCACGAAGTGCATTTTAAATCAAATGAAAATGCTAAAATTAACTTCGTAACAATTTCGATATCAATTGTGAAAATCGAATATTAGTTAAAATATCGCTTAATTAATACCATTTCATTTATTCGTTGATGAAACTTAAATATCATTTTAATGTGACGTCTTCTTTTGCAAAAATTAACATTTTTAGAGTATTTTAAGTTATAGAGTATTTTAAGAGAAAGTTGCTTTTTAGACACGTATCATGACATTATTTGTAATTACAGGGTAAGTAAAAATTGCGAGCAAAGTTGTCAGACCTGTACATATCGTAATCCAAAATATGGGGTTTTTACCTTCTTAATGCTTTCAATTTTTTATATTAAGGGGTAATTTACGGGGTAATTTACAACCGTAAAGTTCGGGGACCAATCGAATCAGATGACACGCTTTTACTTCTGCTCGCTAATATCAACGACTTTTATATAGAATACGATTACACTGCATTATAAATCGTGGAACATATTCGCCAGTCCCTCGTGAATGTAAGTTGATGATCGATTAGGACATATCAATATCAAACAAACTTTATTTTTAGCTTTAAATGATAAAATCGAACGAATTTAATAAAAGTAGGATGTATGTCATGTTTATTCAGTTATAAATCTTCATACACATAGACATCTCACTTAATTATCTCATTCACTAATACATTAAATCGATTCTTCAATAAAGTCCGAGTATAAAAATATAAAGGTTTCAAAAAATCAAGATCTTAATACGGCATACATAAAGTATAGAGATAACTTCAACAGAAGCTTTTCGATAAAATAATAATAATCTATTTCACTTTTGTTTGAAATGAATTTTTGATTTTAATCCTCTAATATAATTTTGAAATCACATATTTCTATATTTTTAAATCTTCATTTTCATCATAATTTAGCATGTTACCGTTGCGTCATTCTTTAGTAATCAAAGTCTGATTTTATAATAAAGAGCAATTAGGAATTTTATATATTATCTAATTTTTATAATAAAATATTAAAAAATTGAAAAGTAATTGTCAGTTCATATTCTAAAATGTTTGCTATCAATGTTTGCTAATTACGTAAGTATTTTTCAAACGTGAGAAAATATTTTGATTTTAGAGAGTGCTTTAAATGCTATAAATATTCATATATGGAATTTTATCAAAGATTAAAAAAAAAAGTTTAGTTTTCTCTTTTTTTTTAAACATTAAGAGAACACTTTTTCAGATTTGACGCCTAGCGTTAGCGTTTGCTTATCTATTGTCTATTTATTTGTTTTATAGCACAGGAGGGTTGTACAAAAGGAATACATCGAAATTCTGTTATAACGAATTATCCCGAATTATTCTTCTCTCAAGCATTTCACTCAAGTAGCTTTTATTACACTTGATATTAAATATTATATCTTAATATATTACTATAGATTTTCAATATAACTGCGGTATGCTCCGAATCGATAATTTCGGATTGTCCTTCCCAGGATCTTCATGCGAACACTGTCGCACGTATTAAGCAGGCCACAATGCCACGGAGGAGCAAACGATGAGCGCATTTATATTACATTATAATAATCGCTTGAGAAAAAATCGATACTTTAATTTTCCCGTGATCACCTCGTCGTACATTCTCATTATCTCGCTTATTGATCCATCATGGATCTGCGCCCTTGTGATCGATTGGTCAATAGTGTAAATTAATAACTATAGAACAACACGTGATAATTAAACTGACTCACGGATGACGTTTTTTTTATCCTTGGGATGCATCTCAAAATTTAAAATTGTCTTTTATATACTTTGAGTTCATTTTGATTTCACTCGATGCTCGCCGGTGTAGCGCGAATAATATACGAATTTAGATGTCACTCCAAATTACGCTATACGATTTTCGAACAAAGTGAACATGAGATAGAGTGTATTGGAAGATTAATTACACACCTCGTGGCTTGGTGTGTATACAACGAGAACATTTGCATAACCCATTCCTCTCAAAAGATTGAATGAACGGATCTTGTTATCGAGAAAAAAAATCTCAAGTTTTAAAAATGTCATTCTTTTAAATGATGAAAAATAATAACTAGTAACTCTTGCGTTGACGAAAACGTGAATTAAAAATTGTTTATATTAACTATTGTTCGCGTCGTGTAAATTTTTGTATTGAGAAGGCAATGTACAGAATTGAGAAAACATATGGAGACTTGGAACCAGCGGCTCTCTCTGTGTATGTAACGATCGCTTAAGACTTATATATTCAAATACATATATATTCAATATATATGTACATATACGCATACATAATTACGTGTATACCTACAAATACTTCGCGTACATACTACACGCTAATCGACGAAAAGACAACGCAGTGGTTTCAATCTCATCAGAGTATTACGTTTATATGAAAAAAATTTCTAAACACAGAAGCTCATGTTGAGATCCATTTGTGTCTTGAATTATTTGATTTATTTTGTTTTCTCCTTTCTTAATTTAGAATAAATTCTTTTTAATTAAGATTTTTTTTAAATTAAGATAAGAAATATTAATTTTTATATTTATGTACCTTAAAAAAACAATAAAAGATATATAAAGATATATAAAATCCCAAATAAGATTAAACAAATTTTTTTTATAACATTATAATTAAATCTACACTGACAAAACTAGTAAAGTTTTAATTAAATCTACAATTACGAAACTCGTAAAGTTTCGTGAGATTGTACAAAATTGTTTCTTTTGCTCTCAAGAAGAATTAACTTGTTACGGATTATCTGAAAACGAATTGTTGGACTTTGAATATTCAATATATGCAATAAATGCAAAAAAAACCTTTAGCAAACCACTTGATGAAGTCGAATTATGAAATATAACTCGAATAATAACTTGTAATTCTGAATATTTCAG